GAAAGCGAGAAATCACCTCCCGGGGGGATGGGCCATTCCACAATCCTTTCTCCTCCATTCTCCTCTCAGGATTTTGGGCATGCATGCAAACGTGTCCAGTGTGAGTTTAAGTCACCAGGTCTAGGACTTGAACTGCAGTTGACTACGTGGGAGGCCAGCGACGTAGCCATTACGCCCAACTGCTGGTCCCATAAAATTCTCCCTTCTAACAGCAAATTGTCACTTTTACAGTTTCCTGAGGCATTTCTTCTTGTTGATCTGAAACCATTATTCATTCTGCTAATGCTTTCCAGTTTTACCCCTCCACTAACTCCCTACTCATCCTTCTCAACCTTTTACTCAACAAACTGTCAGTGTAACACCTACAATTTGTGAAGTATTATTCTAGCTATAGCAGATGGAGAATAAACAAAATGGTTTGAAATCCCAGCTATTCTGGAGTCTATGGTCTGGTCTGGGGAACAAGATAATAAAGAATTGTTTGAAAAGACAGACAATGAACAAGAATATCATCTTCCTTCTTTATTTTTTTTTTAGAATTACTTTATTTCATTTATTGTCATCATTATTATTTGTGTAATTTGACCAGAAAGAGACAGAGAGAGAGAAAGGGAAAGTAGGAAAGCCAGCCTCCAGGTCTGGGACTCAAACCGTGGTCCACCATGTGGGAATCCAGCGCCTTAACCACCACGCCACCTGCTGGCCGCTCATCTTCTTTCTTCACACTGACATATGTACGCATATCATTTCATCTGATTCACAGTTCGCTGGGTCACGTTTCATTTTCATCCTATTGCACTTGACGGTTTGAGCTCTTCAGCACTCAGGGAGTAACCCTGCCTTGTTGCAAGTTCACCATCCTTGGCTTTTGAAAACTAGCATATTTGACTGGTTCGAGCTCTTCAGCACTCAGAGAGTAACCCTGCCTTGTTGCAAGTTCACAATCCTTGGCTTTTGAAAACTAGCATATTTGACCGTGTTTCCTATTCTCTCCTTTGCAGGCCACTATGTACGTGGCATTTGTATCTATGGAAACGGAGACTTGAAGTGGCTGATTAATTCACCAAGCCTGTTTGCTAACAAGTTTGAGCTTAATACATATCCCCTTACTGTGGAGTGCCTTGAACTGAAGCTTCGGGAAAGAACCCTCAATCAGAGTGAGACTGCCATCCAACCCAGCTGGTATTTCTGAGCTACAGAAACTCATGACGAAGGGAAACTGCAATTGGGCAGAAGAAACTTTCTCTGGGAGAGACTTTGGTTTACGTGAACAGTTTCGGGACCAGGAATGGCTCCAGGACCTGGCTACGTGATTCCATTGAGCCTAACCCCCTGGACACTATGAAGCACACTAGCAGGGGGGCTGGGCAGGACAACCCTGGTGCTTTCTCCCTTCTGTTTCTAGATGCTTCCCTCGCTATTAGGCTATTGTTATGATCAGTAACGAATCCAAATGTTAGATCGGGACAGCCGTATAGCCTAGTGGTTAAGGGAGCTCAGATCTCATATGATTGACCATGTTCTAATCCCAGCCCTCGAAAACACACTGGGTGGGTGTGTATGTGTGCCTAAAATCCCAAGAAGATGAAGAAATGGAAAAGAAGGGGGTTGAGGCATGACCGGGCCTACAGGGTGTGTATGGGAGGGTGCTGTGTCCCTTTTTCTGTCTCTCTCTCTCTCTCTGACAAATGCATGCACTCTACAGCAAATAAATAGATAAACAGATGTTGTCAGATCTTTGCACCAGATGATCTTTGCACCAGATACTCATCATATAAATATTTATTTTTCTTTCTTTTGAGAGGTTTTTGCTATAGGGCACGTGCGCTTACCAGAAAGACAGAGAGAAAAAAAGTGAGAAATCACCCCCCAGAGGGGATGGCCATGCCGCAATCCCTTTTCCTTCATTCTCCTCTTGGGATCTTGGGCATGCATGCACACGCACCTGGCATGAGTTTAAGCCGCCAGGTCCAGGACTTGAACAGTGGTCAACTACGTGGGAGTCCAGTAACATAGACATTACTCTAACTGCTGGTCCCCATATGAATATTTAAATAAGGGGCTGGCAGGTGGTCTTCCACATGACCGACCACAGTTCAAATCCCAGACCTGGCAGCTTGCTTTCTCACACTCCTTCTCTGTCTTTCTAAAATGAAGTTGAAAGCAGACCTTATTCAAAAGAACCAGGGAGGAAGAAGGAGAAGCCAAAGCCTGTTATGTTCTAGGCATTCTGCTAGCTTCTTTTGTCTTATTTCACGCAAACCTCATGACAGTCCTGGAGGTAACTATGAGGATTACCCTCATTTTGCAGATGAAGTAACTGAGGCTCAGAGGAGTTAGTAGGTATTGGGAAACAAACTCAGAGAATTGGGATTCTCTTCCTGGTCTCGTCAGTCCACTTCCTGAGGTGGAATATTGAGAAACAGTGAAAAGAAAGCCATATTTCAGGACACGAGACAAGGTAAGACCCATCGAGAAAGAACGTTCCATCAAAGTGAAACTCCCAAGTTTTATGACTGGTCTTAGTATTAACACAGAAAAAAAGTCCCGTCATTTCAGAAAAAGGTGAAGTCTATGTTAGTATTCTCTAACCCGCCGAATTCCTAAATATTTATTTATTCTAACAAAAAACAATAGCTACAATTGATGATAACATTTAGTTCATGTAATTTTATTCTTTTTTTTTTCTAACTGTCCTGTTGATATTTAAAGGGAATAAAGTCGAAGTCGAATCTTTTTTTTTTTTTTTTTGCTACTTAAACATGTAATGGTCCGTGAGTAGTGAAGACTCGACAGGTAGGCCATCCAGCATCAACGCTCAAAATTGTCTCTTGCAACTTGTTAAATGTCAGCATGGAGAAGAAGCAATGTCTTACACTGGATCCTTCTCATGTAGAATAAGAAATCTGTCTGGATTATAAGATGTTTACACGTCTCTTGCTGGTCATCTTTTCTGTCTTCAGTACTTCAACGTTAAAAGCATGCGGTGTTTGGGTGAGTAGATCGCTACTCATCCAGTGAGGGTGCGCTGAAACTACCACGTCCGTCGTAATTCTCAGTAATGCTCTGTCTTTCCGTTTTCTTGGAAATAAATTAATATATTGTTTTCCACTTTGGGGCTCTTATTTATTTTTCTTCAAGTCGGTTAAAATTCACTAAAAAGCAGGTTTAACAAAGCAGCTCTCCTGACATTAGCAAACAAAACCAAACGCAAGCTTGAGGCCAGCAGGTGGCATGGAGGTTAAGGCACTGGATCCCATATGGCCAACTATGTGGTTCAAATCCTGGCCCTGGCTGCTTGAAAGTCACACCAGACACATGTACATGTGTGCCCAAAATCCTGAGAGGAGATGAAAGAAGGGATAGCAACACAGTTATTTCCTCCTGGGGGGTGATGGCTAATCTTATCCTGCTCTGCTGAGCACATGTGGCCTATAGTAAAACAAACTAAAACAAACAAACAAATGAACAAACTGGCCCTATAGCCTAGTGGTTAACAGGGCCAGATAGGTCATGGATGACCACAGTTCAAACCCTGGCCCTGGAGGCTTAAAAAACATACCGGGTGCATGTGTGTGCATGCCCCAAATCCTGACAAGAAGGAATTGGGATGTGACTACCCCCTAGAAGGGTAATTTCCCTCTCTTTCTCTGTGTCCCTCTGGTAAGCTCATACACCCTCTGGCAAATAAGAAAATACAAATACGATTCAGTTGGTGCCATGGTAGTTAAGGCAGCCAAATCCCACCTGGCTGACTGCACAGTTTGTGTCCTGGACCCGTTGGCTTGAAAAACATACTTGAGTGCCCCAAATCCTAAGAGGATAATGGAGAAGAGGGGACTGTGTCTGGCCATCCCTCCTGGAGGTGCTGGTGGTGAGGGGTGATATCTTTTTCCCTCTCTCTGTCTCTGGTGAGTGCACACACCCTAGGGCAATAACATAAATTTTAAAAAAAGAAAGAAAAGGTTTTATATTGAAATATTAGACTCAGAGAAAAGTTCCAAAAACAGTACAGGGCGTTCTTGTAGATCTTTCACCCAGCTGACTAATCCTTATGTTAACATCTTACACAACCTAAGTTCAATGATCAAAGTCAGTTTTGTTTTGCTTTTAATTCCATGCCGACTGAGAGTTGGAACCAGCTGATATTTACCTTTGTACAGCATGGACGAGATGGGTAAAGTGAGTCCCAGTAACACATGATCATCATACTAGACCAAATGACAGAAAGGGCCTGGTCTCAAGAGGTCCTTCCCTATGAAAACCGCACCATGGTCCTGTGGACTGAATGTCTGTGTCCACCCTCAAAATGTAGATGCAGAAACCAAATCACTGAGGTGTTAGCAGGTAGAGCCTTTAGGAGGTGATAAATGAGGTGACTTCCCTTGTAAGAGGCTCCAGACAACTGTAATACTTCATCTCCCACCAGGTGAGGACCCAGCAAGAAGGTTCCATGTATGAACCAGGACGTTGGCCCTCACCAGACACTGAATTTGCCGGCATCTTGCTCGTAATATTTTCAGTCTTTGGGGCCAGCATGGTGGTTAAGGGGCTGGACACTCCCACATGGCCAACCACAGTTTGAGTCCCAGACCTGGTGGCTTGCTTTCTTACTTTCCTTCTCTTTCTGTCTCTCTCTGGTCAAATTTAAAAAATGAATAAATGAATAAATAAAATAAAATAAATAATTATTTTTAAAAATATTTTCAACCTCCAGAACTGTGAGAGATACATTTCAGTTACTCGTAAGTCATTCTGTTTAAGGCATTTTTGTTATAGCAGCCCAAATGGACAAGCATATGGAAAGGGAAAGCCTACACATTCTCTATTTCAGACTGTGAAAATGAGATTAAACAAAAGGATAAAAGAGACTAGTAGCTCCACAGTCATGTCACTAAGAAGGTAGTGGAGAAGAAACCAGGGATATGGAGTTTAAAGGTGACTTGTCATCTAGCAGATCACTGCTTGGAAAACCCTTATTCGGATTAATTTCTCAAAATTTCACTAAGCAGATTTAATGGGTCATGAAGGTCTAACAGGAAAAGGATTGATTACTGCCATTGTTACAAATTTAAATTCTAGTGTTTCACACTTTGCCTGATCCCTTCCTCACACCTTTGAGTACTTAAGGCGAGGTAACCCTATGATTAGCATTTATCCAATGGTTTTTCCAGAGAACCCAGCAGAATGAATTCAAACAAGACTTTCCAACAGTTGGACGGTTTATCAGAGATGACTCAGTGCCAAGAGGAATTGCTTAAATAATAACCAAAGTAACAGCATGCTCTTCTTTTGGAATAACAGATACAGAAAATGACACAGTGACTTAGGTATATCATAGGCTGGTAGAGAAGTATTTGAAAGTCTAGGAAATTCCCTAAACACTGACATTGTAGTGATTACCATGCATGGAAATTTTCCAAACTAAAAATGCGATCAAGAAACGTTTCCAAGAAATGGCTGGAGTTTGGGGAAATGTCATTTGAAAAACTTCCATGAATATAAAATGGGGATAAAAACATAGCATTGTGTTTTCAAAGTTGTTTTTTTTTTTTTTTTTTTTTTTTAATTGTCAGAAGGTAAGAGAGAGAGAGGCAGGGAGAGGGAGAAAGCACCCTCCCAATGAGGTGCAGCCATGCTGCAATCCCTTGTCCTCCATTTCTCCATACCATTGGGATTTGGGGCATATATACACATCCACTCAGAGTGTTTCTCAAGGCGCCAGGGCTGGAACTTAAACTGCAGCATAATTATTTCCCATGGGGAATGTTTTCTCTTCTCTCTATATATATCTCTGTCTCTTCCTGGCAAGCACACGCACCCTCTATTCAAATCAAAAAACAAAAACAAAACAGTATCAGAGAAATTCTACTGTGAATTCTAAAAGGAAAATGGAGAAGGGTCATGTCCTCTGAGTGTGCCCGATAGCAACAAAATAAATAAATAAAAAATAAACTGTCAAGCAGAGACAAACTTCAAATGGCAGAAATTTCTCTCTGTGTGTGAAAACACATCTAAATAGGATACTGAAATTAGTGACAAGGAGTGAAACCAAGTAAAAAAAAAAAAAGTGTTCTACATAATTGAGGTCAGATAGGCCCACCAAGGATAATTAAGAGATTGCCAAGGGATCAGCAGTTGGCATAATGGTTATGTCGCTGTACTCCCATGTAGTCAACCATGGTTTGAGTCCCGGACCCACTGGTTTGTAATCATGCAGGGCGTGTGTGCATGCGTGCCCAAGATCCCAAGAGGAGAATGGAGAAGGGATTTTGGCTTGGTCATCCCCCGGGGGGGGTGTGATTTCTCACTTTCTGTCTCTCTGTCTCTCTCTGTCTTTCTGGCAAGCACACGTGTCCTATAACAAAAACCTCTCAAAAAAAAAAAAAAAAAAGATCCAGATCCTTCATGGCTGACCTCATAGTTCATGTCCCACTCTGGAATTTTTTTTTTTCTTTTTTTGAGAGAGATTTTTGCTATAGGGCGCATGTACTCACTAGCGAGACAGAAAGAGACAGAGATACAGAAAGTGAGAAATCATCCCACAGGGGGAATGGCCATGCTGCAATCCCTTCTCTTACATTCTCCTTTCAGGATGTTGGGTATGCCCGCACATGTGCCAGACATGATTTTAAGCCGCCAGGTCCTGGACTCGAACTTGCAGTCTTCTACATGGGAGTCCAGCGACATAACCATTATGCTATTTGCTTGTTCCCCCACCCTGGCATCTCAAAAAACACACTGGGCACGTGCTGTGCAGGCCTCAAATCCCTAAAGGATGGAAACAGGGATGAAGGGATTGTTACAGGACCATGCCCCTACTGGTCCGTGCTTTCTCCTCTGCTCCTCGGGGGAATATATTCACCCTCTGGA